GTCTCGTCCACAGTCTCCATGTAACCACGCCCTCCTGAACCTCCAAATTGCACCCGGTCTGTGCACTACCTCACCATATTGATGTCATCAGGGGAAAGGTCATAATAGGTGATTAAGAACATCCTGCGACATCACAAGGATGGTCTCATTCAGTGCAGACACTCAGCATTGTGAAGAAGTTTCCTGATCTCTAGATCCAAAGTACTCTCTCCTGGGTGCTGTTAATGTCACTGTAGCGTCTCTTACAGCCTCAAATTATCTTTCATGGTGGTGTTTTATATCACTGTTTGAGATTTTTATTTTTAAAGTGATTGATAACAATTACATGTGTTCAGCTGGGTGGTGGTGGTACACTGCTTTTGAACCTAGCACTTGAGAGGCAGAGGCAGGGAGATCTCTGACTTCAAGGTCATCCTGGTCTCTAGAGTGGGTTCCAGGACAGCCAGAGCTCCACAGAAAGGGTCTTGGAAAAAAAATTGCATGTTCTTAAGGAGTACCATGTAATATTTTGATGCATGCATAAATTTTGTAATGTTTAAATTCCTCATGGTGAAAACAAGCTCCATCAGGCTAATTTTTTGAAACAGTCTATTTTCCTTGTCTTCAGTCACCCTACTGTTTAACAACACATCAGATTTCTAACTCCTGTCTCTAACCTGCACTGACCAGTTTTCCTCAGCTCTCCTTTCTCCCTTCTGCCCAGCCTCTGGTTACCTCTTCTCCAGTCTTAACTTTTGGTCCCACTAATGAGCGCCCTTTAGCATGGTCTTTTTCTGCCTGTCTTGTTTCATGTAAAGATCTCCAGTTCCATCCAATGTTGTAAATGACAGGATTTCATTTATCTTTAACATCCCAACAGTATTCATTTTTTTTGTATCTATTCTTCAACACTTACTTTGTAAGAACTGGCCAACTATCTTCGTCTAGAAGATGAACTTCCTAAGACAAAGGTCAGTGTCTAGTTTGACGACTGGGTCCAGTTTTTAAGCTGGTACCTAGCATGCTAGCTTGTTAAGGTTTTGTAGTATTTTAATCCATTTTAGGATTTAATACCCTGTAATCTTTATATTATATAATATATAGCTCCAGATGTCCTATCTGGCTGTATATCAAATAATTCAGAATACGAGTTTGAACATGCACTGCCTCCTTTGACCTACCTTAGAGCAACAGCTTCGTCAACTCATGTCCAGAGGTCATGGGCAGTGGGCTAAAACCAAAGCCACAATTACTCAGTTCAGTAAGACAAAAGCTATTTGTTACCTGCACTTTCTTTTAGGAAGGAAGCTGACCACAGGTTGGACTGCCGGTTTGTTAAGACATCTTTATTTTCAATACTTCTTGAAGAGGGTCTGTTTTCACTACTTTTAAAAGAGACTTTATCTTCGATCTTCTTTGAAGTGGCTTCTTTTCTAATCATTAAAGCAGACAGTGAAACATGTCAGTCCCAGTGACCTTCATGTTTTATAAAGGTCACATGACACACATTTGCATACTACATTTCCAGGAAAATCAGTGTATGATATACCAAACAAACATACACTTAAAGAGTATGTTGGCTCTTTGAGAAAGTGTAACTTTTATTATTCATGAAAAACCATCTCTGCTTGGTACTTATTGTTGTATAGCAGTTCACTGAATCTTTTTAGAGTTCTAACACACAGCACGTAAGAGAATCATTTAGGAAAGTATCTATGGTACGTCGTGATGTGGTGACAGAAAACCATAAAATTGGCCTTGAATGGCTTTTGAAGGTTGTAAGTAGATGCCTGCTCTTGCCAAGTGCTATATTCGTAGTAAGGTTCCAACACTAATATTAACCCCACAGTCCTGAAACAGCTTAGCTTTCACATTAGAAACTTCATCCCAATGAATAGCACACGGAGAAAAGGCGTCCTGGGGACAGCGCTCCATCCAGAGAAATGCAGCTACGGTTGTGCAAATGTCCCAGAACCCTCTGCAGAGTGTTAAGCATCTTACAGTGTCAACCAGGTGCATGTCACATGCCTTTAGTCCCTGCACATGGGAGGCAGAGGCAGGCGGGTCTCTGTGAGTTCGAGGCCAGCCTGGTCTACAGAGTGAGTTCCAGGATAGGAAGAGCTACACAGTGAAACCCTGTTTTAACCAACCAACCAACCAACCAACCAACCAACCACCAACACAACCAACAACAAAGACAATGTTTTATCGTGTCTCTTTTGAAAAAAAATTCAGTTTCCAGTTTCATGGAAAGATACAAAATGATAAAATTATGGTGGTTTTGTCCTTTCAAAGAAGACTGAAGTCTAAACAGTCAGTATCATCAGCTATCTTAGGTTCTGCTTCTTTCCTTTTACATTTCTTTCTTTTGCATGTGTTAGGTGTGTGGTCATATGTCATGTCATGTATGTGGAGGTCAGAGGACAGTAGTTGTAGGAACTGGTTCTCTCTGCCAGGTAAGTCTTGGAAATCAAACTCAAGAAATCAGATTGGCTGTCAAGCTCCTTTTTGCCTTCTGCTCCCTCTTGCTAGCCCTTGGGTTTTGACTTTACAATGGGTTGCCCTGCCTGTTATATTCCTTTGTAGAGCCAATAATAGAGCTTTTATTTCCTTAGGATATTTGACTAAGCAATCCCATTCTTGGTTGTTTACCCAGAAAAGTTTAAGCCAACATACCCCAATAAACAAACTTGACATCCATGTTTGGTTACTACTGGACTATTCTCCATAGCCAGGAAGTAGAACCAGCCCATGGCTATGTGATGGTTTGAATAGTAGACTCAAAGGTTTGAATGTTTGGCTCCCACTTAGTGGAATTGCTTAAGAAGGATTAAGAGGTGTGGCTTATGAGAGTAGGTATGGCCTTGAAGAGCTGTGTCACTGGAGGTGGGTTTTGAAGTTTCAAAACCTATGCTAGATTCAGCCTTGCTCTCTCTCTCTCTGAAATTCCTAGATCAGATGTGAGCTCTCAGCTCCAGAGCTATATAGCCTTCCTGTAGCCATACTCCCCACAGTGATGATCATGGACTCGCTCTCGGAAACTGTAAGCCAACCCTCAGTTAAATACTTCTTTCCTAAGTTGCCTTCATCACGACATCTCTTCACAGCAATAGTAAATCTATCTAAGACAAGATGAATATGTAAAGAAAATACATGGTGCATATACACAATGAGAAGTTATATACCATCAAGGTGAATGTTATGTGCAGAGCTTTAATCCCAGTGCTCAGGAGGCAAAGGCAGGTGAGTCTTTGAGTTGGAGGTCAGCCTGGTTTATACAGTGAGTTCCAGGACAGCCCAGGCTACACAGGAAACTGTCTCAAAGCCAAAAGAAAAAAAAGTTGTGCACCATTCGAGAAAAATGAAATCACATTTTCAGAAAAATGGCTGCATTGAAAATCATTGTGTGGGGCTGGAGAGACAGCTCAGAGGTTAAAAGCACTGACTGCTCTTCCAGAGGTTCTGAGTTCGATTCCCAGCAACCGCATTGTGGCTCACAATCATCTATAATGGGATCTGATGCCCTCTTATGGTGTGTCTGAAGAGAGTGACAGTGTACTCATATACATAAAAAATAAATAAAAATTTTAAAATAAAGGAAAAGAAAATCATTGTGTGAAGAGGAATAAGCCCAAGACAGTGCATGTTTTCTCAGATATTGTGGTGCTTTGAATATGCTTGACCCATGGGAAATGGCACTATTAAGAGGTGTGGCCACGTTGGAGGAAGTGTGTCATTGCAGGGTTGGGCTTTGAGGTCTCTAATCAGAATAAAGCCTTCTCCTGGCTGCTTTGGATCAAGATACAGAACTCTTGGTTCTTCCAGTGACATGTCTGCCTTCATACTGCCATGCTTCCCATCATGACAAAAATAGACTAAACCTCTGAACCTGTATGTAAGCCAGCTCCAATTAAATATTGTTGCCTTGGTCATGGTGTCTCTTCACAGCAATGAAACCCTAACTAAGATAGATACAGAACACAAGTTTAAAATTGTATGTATGTATGCATATATATGTGTGTGTGTGCTTATACATGTGTTTATAGATTATGAAACTTGAAGGGGGAAAAAGTATCTCAAGAGTAGTAGGAAATCAGGAAATAGAATAAATACATGGAAAAAAAGTGGAAAGGGAGGCTGACTGGGGAAAGGGAGGAAGCAAGTTGCAGGGGTGAGAGGTGGCAGCAGGGGAGGGGACTGACAGAACAAAGTCTGACATGCATGTGAAGACGCCATGATGAAACCTCATACTTTGTACACCTAACCCCTCCTTTCTAAAAAGATATAAAAATGACAACAGGAACCAACTCACACACCTCCTTCTCTGCACATAAAGAAGGCACAGGAAGACAATTTATGCTCTGATCCTTTGGTCTTCTAATTGTATCAGAGAAGCTTGACATTGAGAGTTCCAGTCCTCGATTGCTTGGGATGGCAGAACTATTGTTAGGCTGCCATAGAATCTCTTGTCAGAACTTACATATGGTCATATCAACTCTAGAAAAAGGGTTTTCATGCCTTTCTCTTTGCTAAATGACAGTATTCTGTTGACTTTTAGATGTCATTATTATTAGACATTGTTGTTTTATGTACCACATTGCTAAAGCTGGCATAACTGAAGTCAATAGGAGACAGCATATATGCCTAAGACTCTGTGAACTAGGATGTCTGGAGATCCATTAACTTATATCCCTGAGTAGCAGAGTTAGCCAGCACACTTCTGAGGATTGGTGTAGTTGAAAATGCTCTAATTAACCTTAAACACATGGAGGCGGGTGATAAGTTCACTGTCCTGTGGCTGCATAGAATGCTAGCTAGATACTGTTGCAAGCCGCAACCAAGAACACCCATGACCAAAACCTACCTGAGGACTGACACAGTTAACAGTGAAGCACAAAGCCCCTTTCTTCTCACTTTCTGTAGAGTCTACAATGTAGACCCTTAAAGAATCACAAGCCATAAATTCAACCTTTTCTCCAACTAAAAACTACTGACTTACCAGGATGTGGTGGCTCATGCCTTTAATCCCAGCACTTGGGAGGCAGAAGCAGATGCATCTTTATGAGTTCAAGGCCAGCCTAGTTTACAGAGTGAGTTCTTGGACAACTCAAGCTACCTAGTGAGACTCTGTCTCCAGCCCTTAAAGCTACAAAGTTGCTCAGATTAGATAGTGGCAGAATGTAGCTATGCTGTAGAGTAAATATCCTAAAATTTAGTATTTTCTTTACTTTTAAAGGACTATATTTGGCATATTTAGAAAATGTCCCCCAATTGCTATTAGAGTTAGTATTTTCAGAAAAATTTCAATTTAAATTTCGTCTTAAACGATTTATATTATTCAACTATAGGTCAAAAACCAAAAACGATTTAAATCTTACTTTGCTGAGAATGCATTAGCTCCACCCGGGGTCTGTGCTGGAGAAGTACAAAGCTTGTTTGACAATCTTGCTCTGCATCCAAAGGGGGGTTTGCTTAAAAGTGAAGTAGAAATAAGAAAGCAGCTTAGCATTCACTTTAGAAAAGGTTGTATAGCATACACACTATCATATAACAAAACCCCAGGATACAGTTCCTTCGACTTTGGTCACAGAATTGTGGATTTGCTTCAGCCATTTTCCCTGTAGCTGGAACAGGAGTGAAGACTCAGAACAAGGGGGTGGTGGGGGGATGGGGAGGAAGGAGGGAGGGAGAGAG